GATGCTTTCTTTCCCTCTCTGATCATTGGAATGAAAGATCAGGGTCCAGCTCAGGGCCACAGGCCATCTACTAGGATCACATGGTCTTAAAGGACAAGGGGCTCAGCGTGCTACCGTTCTCTCTGTAGAAGACCCTCCGTCCATGTCTCTGTTAGGGGAAGGTGGAACCAGAAAGATGCTAGGAATTTTCAGGGTAAGACAGTCTCGCGCAGGCACGGGATGGTTCCTTTGATAATGTGGATACTTTTTATTAAAACACTCAAAGCCTATGCCAGCCCAGTGCTTCTGCCTTTGTTTTCACACCTTGCTCTGGGTCCTAGGAGGCACTGCCGTGGGGGCCCACACGGGCAGGCTGACACCAATGGGCCTCGCAGGTGCCATCACAGGAGCCCCATGCAGCAGAATAATTGGCACTCCATAAAAGGTACTTCCCTTTACACCCTCCATTAATATTTATAACTACTCAAAAGTAAACACGAGCAGCGTACCTGATTTATCTTTCTAAGAGCAGCTTCTGCCTCTGGTCGGGTAATATAAGAAACGTACCATTCTTCATCTAAAGAATCCTGAAAATGTAAATTTTTTACGAATGGAATGAATTTTGCAGTTACACATATCAGTGAAAACAAACGCCTGCAAGCCATCATTTCCATAAACTACCACCTCCATTCCATGAGGTCTGAAGCATTTGCTATCTTCCTTTGAATATCAAAATCCTTTAGAACGGTTGTCACGGAGTCCAGGCCAGTGTGTGGCAGCTTTGTGTGTGTGTGGCCGTGGGGAACTGGGCTCCACGGAGCTTTCCCTAGCTGATGTTTCAGAGGTAGGTCCCCAGGCCTTTCTTCTGAGGTGCCTCAGGGTAGACTTGAACCTCCACCTTTTCAGGAAGCAGCTGAGCTAACCGAAACCTTAGACTCCACTGACTCCTTTTGGTGGGGCTTCTTATAGCGGTTTTATGTGAACTCCTTTTAATCATGCCACTCTGCAGAGGGAGCTGGGTATAAGCAACCTTTAACCACTGGAGTCCCTGGAAGTACAAATACTGAGGCTCTTGGCTACTAAGCAAAAGGTTGGTGCTTCAAATTTATCTAGAGGCGCCTCACTCGACAGGCCTGGTGATCTACTTGTAAAAGATCACAACCACTGAACACCCGTGTTCTTCTCTGACCCACAGGGGTTGATTGCCAGGAGCCAGAATCGATCCGATGGCCAGTGGCTTATACAGGTCCATCTCTAACCAGACACAATAAAGCTAGAATTATTTCTCCAGTTTAGTACAATAACACACAGAAGAATCCAGGTTAGGGAGCCATTGAATGATGGGCATATTCAGAATGAGACACTAAGAAACAATTCATTTGAAGAAAGGACTCTGTTTCTCAGCGTTTAATGGAATCATGCGTTTGCCATCGGCACAGTCACACAGACTACTGAGAATGGCAAGAACGCTGAGGGAAGGGTGCGATTCCTTTTCACCTGCATGCTCCCTTTGATTTCTTTACAAATATGCTGAGGCCGCCAGAAGACAAACGCACAAACGTTTACTAAATGGGACTTTCTGACAACTCATTTGTGGAGAAGAACACACATGTAAAAGCATATGATCTCTTACCTCATCATTCCCAGGGGCTGGGGGCTGGGGTTTGTTCGGAAGCGGCAGAGGAAAGTTCCGGCCTTCGGATGTGACTCTGGGTGGTGGTCTACAGATGGGCCCTTCCAAAGTACAGAATTGTGCAAGTTAATTTACGGTCAGCTGTTTTTGACTTTTCTCATAACCCCTCCCTCCACCACACTGTCCTTATACTTGTTCGGATAGTGAACATTTCAAGAAACCGGGATTGTAAAAACAAGCTGCCCTTTAAAAATTCACAAGGGAGGCTCGGGTAGAGTCACCTAACTGTGCCAGTAACCTTCTGAGAGCAGTACTTCAAATTCAGGTTGACTTCTTAAAGATGCACATTACATCCTATA